GGGCTGGTTTGGGGTCAGTTTGGCGGTTTTCAAACATATAAATTGCATAGGCTAATTGTTTAACAAACAAGCCCAAATATGCATGTACTGCATCCAATCAGGCATCACAACGTTACTACACACACACACACACACACACACACACACACTAAAGAGGCTCTGGTGCTTAATTGTAACTTATTAGGTTATGTTTTTGTTTACACATGGTTCAAATATGTTTTTGTTTACACATGATTCAAATCTACAAATACTACAGTTGAACTATGGTCACTTTAGTAAAACCACTGAACCATTCATTTTCACAAGGGACTGCTAGTGACAGGCTGTTGCATGCATAAAATGCAACCTTGAGTATCGATACTTTCGCTACTCGCGTCAGTATCGATATATCGATACTTTGGATCGATACGCCCATGGAAATCGTCCATCCAATCTGGCAACACTGCTCTCATCTCCCTATAGTAAGACAATCTCTGGTAATTACCGCGGACTCCCTGCGAGCGCACATCAGGAAAATGCACTGTGATATCTATCGCGCGCACCGGAGGTGAAAGCTCACGTGAACGGAAAGCTGCTGTTGACACGCTGTCATTTGCCGCTCTTCCCGCCTTATCGAAATCAGCAGCTTTCTGCAGGTAAACACGAGCAGCGGGGCGGCACGGCCGAGCCCAGCCGGAGCCGTAATGGAGGAAGGGATACACACACGGCCTCCGGGCATTAGTTTAATATGCGACACGTGCACATGTTCTGGCGAGCCATTTTCATAAGCGCTGCGAGTGAGTTCAAGCGTACGAGCGCTTAGCAAAAACCCAAAATAGCATGGAGAAGCGAGGAGGAACAGACAGCGTCGACTAACAAGCTGTCTTTCACTTCACGGCCCTTTCTTCAAGCCTTTGGAAAGCAAACAAGCTGGAGATGCTGCTGTTGTTGTTTTGTTCATTCGGGTCGGTGGTTCGCTGTCGCCTCTGTAAGAGGAAGTCAAGGGAATCTGAGCGTTTCAAACACCTCCGGGGAGCCGCGGGAAGCTCATGGCATGGAGACAGTAAATGAAAGCACTAAGCCACTCGAGGTCAAAATGTAGTGATTTTACTATAGTAAAGGGATTTTTTACTATAGGAAAGGAGCTTTGATGCAGTAAAATCTCTATTGCATACAGCCTTGAGTGGCTTATTAATTACATTAAACCAAGTTAAGAGTAAACTGATTAAAGACATGATTTTTTTCCTTTAAAATATTTGTGAAAAAAGTATTATTATATTAAAATTATACAAAACAAAGCATAAACAAATCAAATAAAGACAGATGAATATAAATAAAATATGAGAATAACAAAAAGAAAAAAATGAAAAACAAATGACAGACGAAAAAGACAAACTAAAAATTAACAAAAAAAGCTGAAACAAAAGAATAAAAAACAAAGACAAACAACACAAACGAATTACATAATGCATATATAAATAAAAGTGATAATAGCAATATATTTATTATTATTAAAGAAAAAAACTAATGAAAGAAAAACTTTAAAGACAAAAAAGAAACAAAATAAACAGAGTGAAAGAATGAAAAAAGAGACAAAATAAATAGAATAGATCCAAATTAAGGAGAAATGAAAAAAAAGAATAAACTAATAAAAAGTTAACTAATGAATATAAGATATGACAATATAAACGGCATTATTCATTCATTCAATTACAAAAAGAGAAAGAAAGAATGGCAGACAAATAAAGACAACAAACTAATTAAGCAGAAAGTAAGTAACAAACAAAATAAATAACATATACATACATAAAATGATCATACTTAAACTATTAGCATTATTATTATTAAAGAAAAAGAACAAAAAGTAAGATAAAAAAGCACCAAAATAACCACAAATAAAAGAAAAAAATTAAGAACAAAATATGGAATGGAAGAAACGAGTGACACAAAACAAAAAGAAAAGAATTAAAAAAAAGATACAAATTAAGGAGAAATGAAAGGGAAAAAAACAACAAACAAGTAAACAAAAGGGGGAAAAGAAAATAGTGAGAACAAAATATGAGAATAACAAAAAAGAGCAAGAAAGAAAGAATAGACAAATAAATACAAAAAAACTAAATAAGCAGAAACGAAATAGACAAAAAAATAAATAAATAAAAGAAAAAAAGAACAAAGTATAGAATGGAAGAAATGAGTGACAAAACAAAAAGAATGACAAAAAATATATAAAAAGAACCAAATTAAGAATAAACAAAAGAAAAAAAACCCACAAGAACAAACAATAGAAGACAATAATATACAAAAAGAATTAATAAATGACCAAAAAATGAACAAAGAAATAGTTAAATGTACAAAAATATAACAATAATACTAATACTAATAATTATTATTATTGTAGTTTTAATAAGAGTTGCATGAACAATGCTTCCACTAATTAATACAGTAACTGTACGCCGTTGACCGTAGCTGGTGCAGTAATATATAACTGATATGACATATCAACATATAGCTGATATGACGCATCACATAACACAGGTGCACATTAAATATCAGCTATTTCTATCGAACGCGAGTCATCAGGTGAGATTTATGAGCTAGAAATATCTGGTTCATAAGCCGTGCTTCTTTCAGAAAGCTTGAGTGGAGCTGACAGCAGCGCAGGTAAAATATGAGCAAGTACTCTTCTGACACACAGTGACGACTTGAATTAGTTTGACAGAGTGAAAACAGAGCGACGGTAAACTGATTAGCGCTGCTAAAAGCAGACGAACGCGTGACGGCTCATGCGAGAGCGATCGCACTTACTAAATAAGCAGAAACGAAATAGACAAAAAAATAAATAAATAAAAGAAAAAAAGAACAAAGTATAGAATGGAAGAAATGAGTGACAAAACAAAAAGAATGACAAAAAAATATAAAAAGAACCAAATTAAGAATAAACAAAAGAAAAAAAACCCACAAGAACAAACAATAGAAGACAATAATATACAAAAAGAATTAATAAATGACCAAAAAATGAACAAAGAAATAGTTAAATGTACAAAAATATAACAATAATACTAATACTAATAATTATTATTATTGTAGTTTTAATAAGAGTTGCATGAACAATGCTTCCACTAATTAATACAGTAACTGTACGCCGTTGACCGTAGCTGGTGCAGTAATATATAACTGATATGACATATCAACATATAGCTGATATGACGCATCACATAACACAGGTGCACATTAAATATCAGCTATTTCTATCGAACGCGAGTCATCAGGTGAGATTTATGAGCTAGAAATATCTGGTTCATAAGCCGTGCTTCTTTCAGAAAGCTTGAGTGGAGCTGACAGCAGCGCAGGTAAAATATGAGCAAGTACTCTTCTGACACACAGTGACGACTTGAATTAGTTTGACAGAGTGAAAACAGAGCGACGGTAAACTGATTAGCGCTGCTAAAAGCAGACGAACGCGTGACGGCTCATGCGAGAGCGATCGCACTTCATAAATCTGAACAACTCGCCGTAATGAACTTACAAACCGTCATCGAAAAGGTATCTGAGCGAAACCGAGCGTTTTTTTAGCACGCTGACGCTCATCCGTCGTTCTTTCTCGAGTAAATCGAATCATATCGTCAGCCGATGGCAAATACCACGGCCGGATGCTTCTGGAAAACACAAAAAACATCAAGAAAACTGAAATAGTTTGGTCTAAACTGTCATTTTCGCTTAAAGCATAAACGGGCCAATCAGAGCGCGGCGTCACCTTGGTGAACTCGCGGCTAATTGGCTACGCAGCTTAGACTCGTGCCGTGGAGAGAAACCAGGCCAATTTCTCGTCTGTGTTTTCCTCTTCGGGAGGTTTTTTTTCTGTGCTCGTCTAAATAAATAACTGGAGTTCAGCCTGACTGACGGTAAATTGGCTGGAGTGACGCCGTGAGACGCTCTCGCGACCAGATAAAGACAGAATCGAGGGCGTTTATTAGCAAACACAGAATCGAGGGCGTTTATTAGCAAAATATGCAGATTGGTGTGGAGGCGGCAAACAAACAGCTGGAGATACAGGTGCAGACGTGAAAAGATGGGAGAGTTTTTGACTTCTTTTATTAGGAGGAAGGCCAAGAGACTAACACAATACTAACATTTTATATTAGTATTATATAGTTATTATATAGTATAATTGTCTATAATAGACTTCTTTTGTGTCTTTTAGGAAAAACAGTGGCAACACACCAATAAATAAACTAAATAAATAACCAGGAAAAAAATAAAAGGTAATATATTAAAATATATATTATTTATAAAATATAAAGTTTTTTACTATTTTAATTGATATTACTATACTATAAAAACATATACATTTTTACAGGAACAAATGAAAGGCACTTTTTACTCATACAAGTCAAAATACAGCCAATATCTATCCAATTTTTGGATAGATATTGGCTGTATTTATTATTATATTAATCATAATTTATTATTATTATTAATTATCATTTCTACTTACATAAATAGGTTAATTTATGATGACATTTTTAATACATTTTACAAATAAAGGTTCTGTTGATTTGTTCAATAAAGCAAATTTATCACTATATATATATATATATATATATATATATATATATACAGTGGTGTATGTATGTATATATTAGTGCTGTCAAAATTATCGCAGGCGTTAAAAATATTTGACACAATTAACGCAGGGGCGGGGTTAGGTTGGCCACACCACTCACAACGGCTGATTCGGTCTCATTTGTCTTGACAAAAAATTCATTTATTAAAACAGAAACTTTTTTTGTAAAATGTAATCATTTTTATAATGAATTAACCTATTTATGTATGAGTGAAAAAGCAGTAAGGCATGAAGTAACAAGTCAAAGGTGTCCATCAAGCACATTTGTACAGAAAAATAATTAAATGCCAGTGCACTGTAATTCAAAAACATGTTCTGTGTGAACCGGCCTTTAGCTTAACACATTAACGCTGTGATAAGTCTCTGCATCATGAGAAGCACATGTGAGGTGTGTTACTCACTGGCGTGGACCTGTAGGCCGCAGCTCCCGCAGGACAGCAGGATGCTGGTGCCGTCGTCACCGATGTGGGAGTTCGACGGCAGCGGTTCGGTGTTCTCGGCACCCGCGCTGAAGCACATCTCTGGAACCAGCGGACTCGTGCGACAGCCGACCCGCGACACCAGACCGGATGTGTCTGAGAGGTGGAAGGGGTCCTTAATGGGCTAAACACACACAAAAACACAAGAGAGAGGAGAGCATGCTAAACCAAAGAGAAATACACACGGATTTAAAACAACTTCCACTTCAATCGGGCAGTTTTTGGTTAAAAAAGCATTGAAGTGGACCAGACTTTGTGCTGATAGTCAAAAGTCTGATTATGTATTATGATATACTATTATGTATTGATTACATACTATTCCAGTATTTTGATACTGTAGTAGCGCTCAGTGCATTACCTGTGTGTACGGACAGAAGAGCGTGCAGACGGCGCAGTGCGGCTCGATGGTCGCCATCGCAGCGTTGAACTGTTTCTCGGCCAGGAAGTTTGGCAAACGGTTCTGCCACAGCGCGCTCTCCTCGGACTTCTTGGCCTCCGGCTGAACGCCGCCACCTACAGGCAGCCCAGAGTACAGCTCTACGGACACACAGAGACCACGTGTGAGAATCACATCAGATACACACTACAGCTAGGGCTGTGCAAAAAATCTAATGCGATTTTCATGCTCATCTTGTCAGTAAAGCCGGTTCTGTGATTAGTAGTAAATCTCCAGCTTGTGCTTTCAGATGGAGCACCATTTACTACACAGAGCCGTAGATCACTGACAAGCTACGCAAAAATGCGTAGCTTGTCAGTAGACAGTCTTATCAGATAGATAGATATATAGAAGGAACGGACGATAGATAGATAGATAGATAGATAGATAGATAGATAGATAGATAGATAGATAGAAGGAACAAACGGACGATAGATAGATAGATAGATATTTAGACAGATAGACAAATCTTTAGACAAACTGACAGATATTTAGATGTCTAGACAGACAGACGCAACAATAATTGTAAAATGTGCAGAAGCTAAATAAGAATTTTAATGCGATTCTGCCTCGTAAGCACTGAAAATGCACATAGTTTAGAGGTAAATTAATCAGATAGAAGTGAAACATGGCTCAGCATGAGTGTTGTCCTCTTCCTCTGAGCCGTGACTCTACAGACAGCAGGTGAAGATGTATTTTTGGAGAGATTTGATGCCCCTCTGTCCTGTATTTTGCCCCCTACAGTGACAGCGGGTGGTGCGGGTTTACAGCTGTCTGTCTCTTCATAACTCACAGCACAGACAAATCAATAACCATCTTTCACCCGCCCCGTCTTATAAAGCGCTGATTGTTTGTGGCTGCTTTCTTTCATACTTTATTGCTTTTGCTCTTTGTGCTCGCGAGTGTACACTTTCACAACAAACAAACAAACACAAAACAACATCTCGCCATCAAACCAGAACACTCTGAAATGAAACACCGGCCTGAAATGTTCTAGAAACATTCATATTGTAAAAACATATCTAACTTTTAACATCTTTTTCTTCAGTGGAAAATATGTCATCAGACATTTACCCAGGGTGCAAAGTTTCTTTTGTTCTCCTGAACGCCATGTGATAACAATTGCTGAATATTGTAATTTAATAACTTGCATTGTCATAAATTGGGCCTCATTCAAGAAGCTAGTAAAACAAATGTACAAATCGTTTCTAAAACTTTTTTTCCATAAATTAACCAATAATTTTCACCAATTTAAAAAATAACATACAAATTTACATACTTTTTTTTTGCTTTACATCTTATGAAGTTCACTCATGAAACAATGAAATGTCACAGATTTAAATTTACATAGGATGTTTTTTACAAACAATTCTACAAACGTCATTCGATTTAACGACTACAAATTGTATGGTCATTTATGAAACTAGCAAGACAATTTTGCGTACATTTTTCATAAAACTATTCTAATGCAAATTCAAAAACTTAAGCAAGAATGTTTTTACGAATGTCATTAAAATTTTTTTATGGACATTATTCGATTATATGGACAAAAAAAACATGTAATTCAAGAGCAGCTTTATGAACAATTTAAAAATTGTCTAATTAAAATTTGAACATCATTAGATTTTTCGTACATTATTTCAAATATAATTTTTGAAACATGAGGAAAAACGAGTTTCTGTGCATGCAAGAATAGCTCCATAAACATTTTCATAAGTCATCTGATGTCATTAAGAACTTTCAAAATGAATTAATGCAAATTTTTAGATAGATAGATAGAAGGAACAAACGGACGATAGATAGATAGATAGATATTTAGACAGATAGACAAATCTTTAGACAAACTGACAGATATTTAGATGTCTAGACAGACAGACGCAACAATAATTGTAAAATGTGCAGAAGCTAAATAAGAATTTTAATGCGATTCTGCCTCGTAAGCACTGAAAATGCACATAGTTTAGAGGTAAATTAATCAGATAGAAGTGAAACATGGCTCAGCATGAGTGTTGTCCTCTTCCTCTGAGCCGTGACTCTACAGACAGCAGGTGAAGATGTATTTTTGGAGAGATTTGATGCCCCTCTGTCCTGTATTTTGCCCCCTACAGTGACAGCGGGTGGTGCGGGTTTACAGCTGTCTGTCTCTTCATAACTCACAGCACAGACAAATCAATAACCATCTTTCACCCGCCCCGTCTTATAAAGCGCTGATTGTTTGTGGCTGCTTTCTTTCATACTTTATTGCTTTTGCTCTTTGTGCTCGCGAGTGTACACTTTCACAACAAACAAACAAACACAAAACAACATCTCGCCATCAAACCAGAACACTCTGAAATGAAACACCGGCCTGAAATGTTCTAGAAACATTCATATTGTAAAAACATATCTAACTTTTAACATCTTTTTCTTCAGTGGAAAATATGTCATCAGACATTTACCCAGGGTGCAAAGTTTCTTTTGTTCTCCTGAACGCCATGTGATAACAATTGCTGAATATTGTAATTTAATAACTTGCATTGTCATAAATTGGGCCTCATTCAAGAAGCTAGTAAAACAAATGTACAAATCGTTTCTAAAACTTTTTTTCCATAAATTAACCAATAATTTTCACCAATTTAAAAAATAACATACAAATTTACATACTTTTTTTTTGCTTTACATCTTATGAAGTTCACTCATGAAACAATGAAATGTCACAGATTTAAATTTACATAGGATGTTTTTTACAAACAATTCTACAAACGTCATTCGATTTAACGACTACAAATTGTATGGTCATTTATGAAACTAGCAAGACAATTTTGCGTACATTTTTCATAAAACTATTCTAATGCAAATTCAAAAACTTAAGCAAGAATGTTTTTACGAATGTCATTAAATTTTTTTTATGGACATTATTCGATTATATGGACAAAAAAAACATGTAATTCAAGAGCAGCTTTATGAACAATTTAAAAATTGTCTAATTAAAATTTGAACATCATTAGATTTTTCGTACATTATTTCAAATATAATTTTTGAAACATGAGGAAAAACGAGTTTCTGTGCATGCAAGAATAGCTCCATAAACATTTTCATAAGTCATCTGATGTCATTAAGAACTTTCAAAATGAATTAATGCAAATTTTTTGGAACATTATACTAACAAAAATGTCTGCATTAAATTCAATGAATTATGCATGAATAGTTTATGAACATCATTGATTTTACTGGCATTATTACAAACTACATAAAAAAAAAAACAAGCAAAACATGCAATTTAACAATAGCTTTACGAACAATTTAAAAATATCATTTGATTTTACGACGGTCATTGCGATCGCTATCTATGCATGAGGAGCAAAACGAATTCAGGTAAATCTTTTATAAAAAGTTATTTTTGGATAAATTGCCGCATTCAATTTATGCACATTTTACGCAAAGTTGTAAGAACACCATCAGACTTTTAGTACGTTATTGCAAATGTAATTTTTGACGATTAGAAAAACTATTTTCAGTGTATGCAAGAATGGCTTTATAAACTAATTTACAAAAAATGTCATTACGAACTTAATTTGAAACATGAGCAAAATTAATTCATACATTTTTCGTAAAACTATTCTAATGCAAATTTCTGCATTAAATTCAATGAACTATGCAAGAACACTTTACAAACATTCCATTTTACGGACATTATTACAAACTACATTTAAAAAACACGTCGCTCTACGAACAACTTAAAAATATTATGAATAACCTTAAAATCATAATATTTTGCAAGTTATTTTGAATATATTTAACAAAAACGTTTCTGTGCATGCAAGAATGGCTTTATGAATGTCATTTTAAGGACGTCATTATGAAATTAATTCGCAACATGAGCAAAACAAATTCATGAAAATCTTTTGTAAATCCGATCTTACATAAAATGTTACACTGAAATGTAATTTATTAATATATGATTATTAATCATGTTTTTCGAACAAATTACACAGAAATCTGCTTGAGTTTCATGAATGAGGCCCAAATATTAAGTATTAATTTAAATTTCATACTTAAAGTATATTGCGTTTACTGTTTATCGTTAATAACGTCATGAAAGCAGTACTCACCCTCGTCGCTGGAAGCTTCCTGTTTGACTATGGAGTGAGGAGAGCGCATGGGCGGCTTGCTGAATGGATGTCTTCGACTCTTCTTTACCTCAACTTTCTTCTTCAGCTTCGTGAAGGGACTTGGCTGAGAACAAAACCATTTAACGATAATTTACCTCAACGTTTAAAATCCCCTAAAAACCCTTTTGGGATCAGAGACAGCGCTGACCTGCAGGCCGGGAGCGGCTCCATTACTCTCAATGTCGCTGGAAGCGAAATGCTCAAACACCTGCTGGAAGGAGAGCTCGTCGGGATGCTTTGGCTTCTTCTTTTTCTTCTTCTTCTTCTTCTCCTCCTCTCTGTTTTCCGGCGGAGGATCCTGGGAATCTGTTTTTCCGTCTTCACCGGCTGAACAACAACAAAGATGGAGAAATGGCAAGCAAAAACCATCACACGTTCAGTAATAACAAGGCGTGTTACTATGTGGTTGCTAGGGTTTGTGGGGTGGTTTCTATATGTTAAAAGTTCACTCCCTTTCACCTTCTTCCCGAAGCGCCGCTTCCGCCTGCTCCTGCTCCTCCCTCTCCAGCGCCTCCAGCGTGAGGAGCGCCTCCCGCGCCATGCGCTCGTCCCTTTGCTGACGTCGCTGCTGCTCGCGCTCCTCCACCTTATGTAGATACTCACTCATATCCAGCTCCACTCCCTCCTCCGCCAGGACCTTCACCTCCTCCAGCTTCAGACGCCGGAACTGTTTCATCCTCGCCTGAGCTCTACGGAAAAAAAAACAACGCAAACGGATAACAAAATTATTTTAACTCACACATTTCCCACTTCATAGTTTTTATTTATTATGATTTGAACTGTAATGGTCAAAAGTCAATAAAAACTTTGTTGGAGCTCTACAAAAAACCACGCTAATGGATAAACTTTTATTTTAAACAAAACGTTTCCTGCTTGATACTTTTTATTTATTACAATTTAGGTAACAGGTCAATAAAAACTTTGCCTAAGCTCTACGAAAAAAAGACAACGACAACGCAAACACAAATTAGTATTAAAAATAAAAATTTGTTAAAAAAGTATTACGATTCGAAAATTAAAGGCAAAATGTCAATTAAAAACCTTGCAGAGGTCTACAAAAAACATTGCAAATGGATAAACCTTTATTTTAAACAAAATGTTTCCTGCTTGATACTTTTTATTTATTACAATTCAAGCTAATTTTACAATTCAGCTAACAGGTCAATAAAAACTTTGCCTAAGCTCTACGAAAAAAACAACGACAACGCAAACACAACATTTTCCCACTTCATAGATTTATGTATTACGATTCGAAAATTAAAGGTGAAATGCCAATGAACATTGCAAATGGATAAACTTTTATTTAAAACCAAATGTTATCCCATTTGATAGCTTTTATTTGTTGTGATACGAACAGTAAAGGTCAAAGGTTAATAAAAACTTTGCCTAAGCGCTATAAAAAAAAAACAATGCAAATAGATCAACTTTTATTTCAATCCAAACGTTTCCTGCTTCGTAGTTTTTTTGTTACGATACTAACAGTAAAAGCTCTACAAAAAAGCAACAAACGGATAACAAACGTTTATTTCAACCCAAAAACTTTTCGCTTGATAGTTTTTTTATTTATTACAATTCGAACAGTAAAGGTTGATAAAAATTTTGCCTAAGCACTTCAAAAAAAACAAAAAACAACACAATGAATAATGAACTTTTATTTCAACCCAAACGTTTCCCTCTTGATAGTTTTTATTTGTTACGATTCAAAATGAATTAAAATCATTCAAATGAAACCATGATGTTTTTCCACCGGAAACAACTTTGCGTGAGCTCTATGAAGAACAAACAAAATGGATAACTTTTATTTCAAACCAAGTTTTCTGACTTGATAAAATTCTATTTATTACAATTCTAACAATAAAAATAATTTCACATCCATGGCAAATTTTCGCAGAGACATTGTTAAAACGAAACATTTTTTGACCAGTAACAAAAAAAATACCATAAATTAAATTTTTTTCTGTATTACAATAGCTGTACTATTACTATATCTTAGTGCTGGGAGGTATGACCAAAAATTTATATCAAGGTATTTTTCAAAATTATACCGACAGCTTCAGTTTCTGAACTTTCACGCTTAGTAACACATACAGCTGTTCCCTCACCGCAGTGCAACAGTGAAAAGGGACCCCTTTCAAACAGTGTCGTTCCGAACGTTGTTTAAGCGACATACACATTGCGGTATTTTAAAAATTAATATCATAACAAAAATAAACACCGGTATTCGGTATGAACCGTTATACCGCCCAGCACTACTATATCTGACCATAAACGTCATTGTAACGTGTCATTCCTTCATCACGCTAATCTCGACTTTTTACTTTTATCATTCCAATAAGATACTATGAGCAATTTAACAATGTTTTGCGTTTTGCATTAAAAGCACATTGTATACTCACTACTTACGAAAATTTTCGTGGTGACATGTTAAAACAAGGAAAACAAGTTTCCACAAAGCATGCTTTTTTTTTTTCAGGGGACTGACGAAAATTAGTTTCTAAAATCAACAATAAAGGCCAACTAGCAGATTTTTGCCACAACAAAATAAAACACTGAAAATTGTGGGCACCTGCGCAGGAGCTTCTCTCTGTACGTGACTCTGGTATTCCTCCAGTGCTCCAGCTTGGAGCTGGTGAGGCTCGTGGGTTTCAGGTGGTCCAGGACCGTGTTGTCTTTCCCCTGTTTCCACAGCTCGTAGCGGTCAGGCTGCAGACAGCGAACGAAGACGTCCATGGAGATCTTCACCATGTCCTTACGGCACGTACACTGCACAAAACGAGAACCAACAACTTTAAAGTCAACAATTGTAAAACAGTTCAGACTGCATGATATATGATGTGACACAATGACGGCCAATCAGAATGAATTTAAAGTTTAGTGCACAACTATGTGGAGTGATATTGTAGACCAATGAGATTCCAGGGAGGGCGGGGCTAATCAGCACAAAAAAATGTGTATTTATTTATTTCTTTGTATTATTGTATAGTATATATTTTTTTATGTATTTATTTTAATTTATATTGCATTATATTATTCAGGTTAAACATACACTTTTGCACGCATTTTTCTTTTTGGCCTTCAGTTTTGAGATTAAAAGAACAATCTAGAGTAATATAATTTAAAATGCGTTAAATATTTATTAATATTACATATTTAAAATATTAATGTATTAATAATGATGAATAAATATTAACAATTAATTGAATATTAATACACATTCATTATTATAAAATAAAATACTATAAAAATTAATACTACGCAAGTTAAAAATAAATATATCTAACACACAAATATATAAATTAATATATTTAAATTAAAAGAATAATACAAGGTAATCTAAATTAAAATAAAATACATTAAAAAAGAATACTACACATTAATACAAATATTTAAATTAAATAAAATTCAATGTAGATTATTTAAATACATAAGTACGTTTAAATCAATTTGCTAGGAGCTGCTTTAAAGTAAATTTGAAGTAGAATATTTCAATGACAACAAAATATTATGTGTTTTTATAATATATATGCAAATTCACAAAAAAAGGACCTTAAAAACTACAAAATATTGGGGTTCAAAAAGATGAAACTGTATAACAGATGAGAATCAAATGAACTGCATCATGGGAGTCGTGTCTGAAACAACGATTGAAAGGAAAAGGAAGGCGATGGAGACGAGACGTGATGATTAGATGAAATAAGTCTTCATGCAGGTGCGCAGACGTGAGATTATTAAATCATCAGCGCCGACGACTGGAAGGGAAAAAACACGCTTTTAATCGCAGAGATTGCGCGGCGTGGACCGAAGTGAAAAACGCACAAATCAACATCTCTCAGTCAACAGAGAGAGAGAGAGACGGATGGAAATGAAAGTCATTTTCTTGCGAGCTGCAGTTGGCTGTATTACATCGAGCCGTTATTTCCTGTGCCGCGCCGGAGCTGCTGTTCAATTACCAGAAACATTCTGCAGCTGAAGTGAAGACAAACACGGCAAACCCTGTGTGTGTGTGTGTGGGCATAATAATGGCAACAACTGCTATTCTTCACTCTGAAATGTCAATGTCTCACAGAGTAACTCCAGGGCTTGCCATATTATGCTCAGAAATGCAATTCCAGCCCGACTGGAAGGATCCGACTCCACCTGGAAAACAAGCGGTGCTGAGGAGAGGAACCAACCAAAACTAAAAGAACAATCATGCTGTGAACATTTTTCAGGAGCGTAACTGAGACTCAGCTGTTTCCAAAACACTTCTACATTTCTTTAGCAAAAATTTGTGACAATAGGCAGATACATGTGTGTGTGTGTGTGTGTGTGTGTGTGTGTGTGTGTGTGTGTGTGTGTGTGTTTCAAAATCTGTTTAAAAAATAAAAAGTATGTATTGTGATTATGCAACAATGAAAAATAAAACTGGAAAAAAGCATATAAAAAGCATATATTTATAAATATACATACAGTGGGTACGGAAAGTATTCAGACCCCCTTAAATTTTTCACTCTTTGTTATATTGCAGCCATTTGCTAAAATCATTTAAGTTTTTTTTTTCCCCTCATTAATGTACACACAGCACCCCATATTGACAGAAAAACACAGAATTGTTGACATTTTTGCAAATTTATTAAAAAAGAAAAACTGAAATATCACATGGTCCTAAGTATTCAGACCCTTTGCTGTGTTGCACATAAAAGATTCTTTAACAGGACAGAAATCAGTGTTTTGTCATGAATGTGCAGGTTTCCAGATCTCTGACTAACGAGGTGCTCCGTCAGATGCCTGTAGAAGAGGAACGGAAATAAAGAGTGGGACTGAGAGCGACGCGAGAGAGATTCAAACACAAGATCCGCTCATGAGCCTGAATTAGCCGCGCATCTGTGACCCCACATTCAGCACATCGCTAATCATTACAATACATGCAGATCACGAGAGAGAGAAGGACAAACAAAATAAAGCTAACAAGAAAAGAAGAACAGAAAAAGAACAAAAAAAAACAAAGGAAATGAAAGGAACAATCAAAACGAAAAAGAACGGATGAAAACGACAAACAAAAAGAAAAAAGTAATGAAAAGGACGCACAAAAAGAACAAACAAACAAGGACAAACAAAAAGAGAGAAAAAGAACAATCAAAAAGAAACAATAAATAGAAAGAATAAAAAAGAACAAACGAAAAGGACAAACAAAAAAATAACAAAAGAACAAAAAGGACAAACAAAAACAATGAAAAGGACAAATATAAATAAAAGAACAAATGAAAGGCAATAAACAAAAAGAAGAAACAAAAAGAAAAAGAAAAAGAAAGAACAAAAAGGACAAATGAAAAGAAACAAACAAACAAGAAAGCACAAACAAAAAGAAAAATGAAAAGAAAGAACAAATGAAAGACAAACAGAAAGAAAAAAGTAATGAAAAGGACAAACAAAAACAATCAAAAAGAAACAACAAAGAAAGATCATGAAAAGAACAAACAAAAAGAAAATGAAAAGAAAGGACAAACAAAAATAAAGAACAAACGAAAATGACAAGCAAAAAGAATAAACGAAAAGGGCAAAAGAAAATAAAAACAAACAACAAAAAGGACAAACAAACAAAAAACAATGAAAAGGACAAATAGAAAGAAAGAACAAACAAAAAGAAAAGATCAAAGAACAAAGAACAAATGAAAGGAAAGAAACAAAAAGAAAGAAACAAAAATCAAAAGAAAGAACAAAAAGGACAAATGAAAAGAAACAAACAAACAAGAAAAAGCACAAACAAAAAGAAAAATGAAAAGAAAGAACAAATGAAAGACAAACAGAAAGAAAAAAGAAATGAAAAGGACAAACAAAAAGAAAGAACAAACAAAAAGAAAATGAAAAGAAAGCACAAACAAAAATAAAGAACGAAAATGACAAGCAAAAAGAGTAACAAATGAAAAGGGAAAATGAAAAGAAAAACAAATAAAAATGTACCCATAAGAAAGGAAAAAATGTGAAGGGATGTGAACGAGCAAACAAAAGCAGCAAATGAGAGCAAATGAAAGGATGAATGAACGAGCAAATGAATCAGGCGCAAAGCAGCAAGAATCAATGAAAGCATGTGAAATAACTAACGAAAGCACAAAAGAACAAAACACAAGAACGAATGCAGTGAACCGCTGGGTCTGTCGTCTGTCGAGCTAAACTCGCGCTCACCTGTGTGGCCATCTTGCCGTAGTCGATCCAGCGCAGGGTTGCGAAGTTCGTGGACTCGGCGCAGTTGAAGCCGTGGTTGAATCCGGCGTGATATCCGTACGGGAACGTGATCATGAACTCGCCCTCCTCCTGCGTGATCTACCACAGAAACAAAACAGCGGCAAAATCATCACAACGAGGCCACTGCGCAAAACCTACGCCATCGCTTTACGTCATCTGTGCCGATTATGGTGTAAAATCTTGTTAGTTGTACAAAATTAATTCAATAAAATACGTAAGAGGGAGATTTAGATTCTTATGCCAATGTTGCAGAACTGTAAAGAGTACAGCGTTTTATAGCGGAAAAAAATTGCTAAAATTACATACGCTAAAACGTAAAAGACAGAGAAAAAAAACAATGAATTTATTTATTTATTTATTCACTTTTTAACGGCATGCCAGCATCAAGGTTATTTTCATGGCGATCTCTGAATAAATTATACAAGGTACACAATTGAAAGAACAATTAAAAATTAAAGAAAGTACGTGAACAAATTGATAAACAAAAAAGAAACAAAACAACTTACTACTTTTATTAGCTATATATTTGATGAATACTTAAAAATAAAAAGTCAAATGAAATACAAATTGATACTTTTAAATTAAATTGACTCCTTAAAGGAACAAACTCCTTTAATTATTATAATTTAACAACTAAAATGTCAACTAAAATAATGAAATTAACTTTTAAGTTAAGTTTAATTTCATTAAAAAGTGAGGTGTTAACTGTAAAAAATGTGCAATTTTAATCGCGAAAAATAGATAAAATAATACATACACAAAAAACGAGATAAAGGATTAATAATAAACAAAAAGGAATGAAACAACCTATTTCTTTTGTTACTTCTATTGTTTGAAGTTTTAATTAATAGATAAAGAATTAAAAATTAAGTAAATTAAATAAAAAATAAAAAAACATGACAAAGAATTATGATTGTAAAAGAAAAAACTAATCAAATTAAAGAAAAATGACAAATGAACAAAAAAAAGAATAGTTTTATTATGTGTAATTTAAAAATTAATGCATGGATAATTAAAAAATACTAAATAAAAAAATAAACAAAAGCAAGAGAGAATTATGAATGTGAAAGAACAAAATGAAGGAATTAATGAAAAATTATGAACAAATTAAGGAACAAATGCATACAAATATAATACAAATAAATTAATAAACTTTAATTAATTTACATAAATAGTCAGGTATTATGGTGTAAACTCACATTAGAAAAAAAAACCGATTGCAAATTTTATATATATATATATATATATATATATATATATATATATAAATAAAAACACAAGTGTCTTTGAGAATAACGAGTTTGACTGTCAATATCTGCAGCACTTTCTTGTGAATTCTGCACGTGTGCTAATAATCATGAAGCCCTCGGCTCATCCTCACGAGACGCACGTGTCTCTGAAGATGGAAGCACTGGACGCTTAATTTTTTCCCTGCTATTGCTCCGCTACCCTACATATTATTAATTTCATCCAGCTCCACAGTCTTCTGGGCGAAGGCAACATTTAAAGGACTCAGTGAACTGTACTTTGATGAAAGAGCCAATAACTGTTGAATTAAGCTGCAAACGACACTTCAGAGGGAGAAAAGGCCGTCGCGGGAAAATCAGCCGAGACCGAGAAACACGCCGGCTTCCAGCGCTAATATCCGTAGCCATTAGCGGCTGATGGGAAAATAAATTTGCTGTGAGAAATCTTCCACCTCTCCTCTCGTTTTCTCCCTCCATTCATCGTCTCCTTTAGACCTCGGCCGCCGCCGGCCAAACGAAACGCTGGAAAGACATTTCCAGACGCTACGAGCGCAATTAAGGTGGAGGCGCGGAGCATGGCGGAGAGTTAGCCAGCCTTAGCTAATGAATATTTTCATTTCACTCCGTCGTTTTCTAGCTTTGCGATCGGTGGAGTCACGCTTCAGCATCACGCTGACGTCCATTAGAAAGAAAGTCAGATTCATTAATGCGGTTTCGAGTCATATTTCACTGCTACGTGTCTGGTGTTTCTGTAGAATTAGTCCTCGGCGTTTGTACATTTAACGAAATTAGATTAATTCCACACCTGTAGAGAACGCGATATTGAGTTATAGAGTGTCGATAACAGCTCAGACAAACATAAATTAATAAATAAATAAATATTTTAAAATCAAAAAATAAAAATTAAATAAATACATTTAAAATGCAATATAAAAATAATAAAACATTAAAGTAAAAATATTTAAAATAAATAATTACAATGAACAAACAAAAGAAAAAAATGTCAACGTGTGAATAAGCACCAAAAATAACATGAAAAAGTATAATAAAAAAATAATATGACAAAAATGGAAAAAGCAAACTAATTAATAAAATTAACTTTTAAAATAAAATGTAATTTTCATTTTTTTTAAATTACATGAGGTATCATGGTGTACATTTGCATTACAATAAAAAATCTGATTGCGAAAATATTATATGTAGAAACTATTTAATAAGTAGTTAATAACGCATTTGAATTTCCATATTCCAATTTTAGTTCCATAATGAAAAAAAACAAATTTTCATTTGAACTGAATTGAAGGAAAAAAGTAAAGTAATAAAATTAAAAAATAAATAAATAAAGTCAGGTATTATGGTGTACATTTGCATTACAAAAAAATCTGATTGTAAAAAATAGAATTTTAATAAAAAATACATTCAGAGGAATTTAGTGTAATTTTGTATATTTGCAGTACAATAAAATCTGATATTATATAAATATATTGTATATATTTAAATAAAAATATAAATAAATAATTCAATGTACAAAATGACTTTTGATTGAATTTTGCATTAATGTATTGTAAATAAAAAAATAAAGACATTTCAAATAAATAATAAAAAGCATTAATTTAAAATAAAATCTAAACCTAAACGAATATTAATATATTTATTTTATATACAAAAACAGGACTTTAAAGTCTCAAAAATCTGACCCGCAAAAAAAACAAACTTTGAAATCCCTTAAAATCAACATGAAATAATTTACAACCGATTTTACTTCCATAATGAGTGTATTTTAGAGTGTTGTTCAACAAGAAAACAGTGCATTTTGATTTCATGTTGACATTACTTTAAGGTACTTCAAAGTATAGCATCCAAGAAACATCCTATAGATTGGTATTAAGTCTAGTATTATGTTTTGTACGGTCTTAACTGTCACTATAATGGCGGAGCGGATGAGATTTAATGCATGATTCCTGGGTTTCTCCTCACACTCTCGCCGATTGTTCGCTAGCAGGAGTTTGAGCTGAAGCTCTAATAACGTCCCCAGACACACGGAGAGAGACAGACAGACAAGAAACCTGCTGAGATCAACACTTCAGCGTCTCCCTCTCCGTTTCATCTCACTCCAGCTCCACCGAGTGTCACATCGACTCAAAAGTGACAATAACATCCGTCGCATGGAGGAGCGGCGGATGCCAAAATCAGGATTGCAAGGGTTGAGTGTAACGTATAGCGGCGCTGAACTTTATCTAGCCTCATTACAGAGATTTATTCCCGGTTTAATCTCGCCGCGAGGGTCTCGGGCTCCTAACAATGGGAATTATCTGTGGAAAAGACTAATTTGCCCCGAACGGAAACGGGCAGCGGAGTAAATTGAAATGTAATCCGTGGCGCGGACGCTAGCAGGGGTCCGTGGTTGGCATATAAAGCACGTTTGTTGTGCAAATACACATAGAATTATGCGTGTAGTTTACCACCCTCGTCATCTTTGAATGCGAAGCTAAGCGCTAACGCTACAATTTCTGCCTGCAGGCGGTCTGCGACACTAGCACTGCGGCCTACATTAGCATTAGCATGCAAAACGTGTCTTCAGAGACTCCCACAACTGTGTGAAATAACTAAGTGACTAAGCTTAGCTATCTAAGATGCATTTTCTTTAAGAAAAACTATGTTCACGAAAAAGCAGGCTAGCAGGGTTCCGTGGTTGCATATAAAGCGCGTTTGTTGTGCAAATACACATACAATAATGTGTGTAGTTTACCACCCTCGTCATCTTTGAATGCGAAGCTAAGTGCTAACGCTACAATTTCTGCCTGCAGGCGGCCTGCGACATTAGCACTGCGACCTACATTAGCATTAGCATGCAAAACGTGTCTTCAGTGAAATAGCTAAGTAACTAAGCTTAGCTATCTAAGATGCATTTTATGCAAACTATGTTCACGAAAAAGCATGCGCTGTTAGAAAGGTAAATTTTGACCAGTTGATGAAAAACAAGCTTATGTGGATTCTACACATTTAAACAATTCAGATTAAGTTATCTAGAAATATTTATGGAGCAGATAAAAAAAACATATACTCGTTTATTAATCACTTATCATTTTGACTTAACTCTTTTCTTTATTTAAAGTCTGAAATGTGAGGTTTACCTTTTAATGAAACGTTTTCAAAGCTTTATTTGAACATTTCGTACATGCTATTAGATAAACTGTATTCAGTCATGTTGTCATTTAAAATCCGGACATCATTGGTAATGTTATTGTTTCAGTGATTATGCAAACAAAAAGTCATTTTATTTGTTGAAAATTTGGTGAAGGGATTTGTGTGTCAGTACTTTTTGAACATTTCCAGCACATTTTAACAATACCGTAATAATACTAATAACGTAACTTAACCGATAATTGCACTTTAGTTCGTTAGTTTTGGACACTATAATTGTGATAAGAATTTTTCATACCGTTACATCCCTAATCATCACATTTTTAAAATAATTGAAATGTATTATGCAAATTATCACATAATAGCATGAAACAAATTAATAAATTAGTTTTATTTGCTTCTTTTACTGGTGTATTAATGAAACATGAGAAGAAAAATGTTTGTATAAGTAGTTCTTGAATTGAAAATTGTCGCATTCATTTTGATGAATTTGCATTAGCGCTTCAGCATTAGCAAATGTAGCAGAGTCGGATACAAAACTGGGATATTATCGGGTCAAGCTAGACCATTCTGAAATCTTTGTTCACAAAATTTAGATAGTTTGCACTAGGGCTGTCAAAAAAAAGTGAATTTAGAATATTCGTCGAATTTAAAATAAAAATCCACATTCGAATGCAAAAACGCTGCATTCGAATTTTAGGTGTGCGTCAGGCAGTGCACGAGATGCGATGACGATGTAAGTGACGTTGCATTATAATGTTTTTGTTAGCCTATCCAGTTGAAGCCACTAAATGCGGTGCTGCTACGTTGTTCATTAAAAATATTGTGGAAAAAGATAACATTAATGCGGAGAAGATCTTGTTTATATCAAAACTGAAACCAAGCCGTTCACACAGAACACATATTTCGCACTTTTTCTAGAGGGACATCTATCACCGTTGCACTCGCATCTCGCACAAAGGAGCCACATGTTTAGAAAGCCAAGTAAAATTAATGCAAGTTTAACTTTGAAAAAAACATATCTCAAGACTTTATGGCGGGTTTTTCCCCATCCCACTGCAACTCATGTTTTTAAATGAAAAATGTACTGTGTGATTGGCTTTCGGCCCTTTGTATTAAACTATGCATACATACATGATGCTGTTTAGTTTATAGTTGTTTAAGCAATATAACTGGTTTATAAACATTATTTTAAACATTCATGTTATCTTATGCTTTGAATAAACGTGCATTAGTAGTATTGTGGCCTCAGAAGAGAAGCCAAAAGCTTTTCTTCACCCTAACTAAAATTGTGCATTTTAAATTTGAATATAATTCGAATTTTTATCATTTTTAAGTACAAAATTCGAATTTAGTTTTTCAGCCATTTTGACAGCCCTACTTTGCACGCAAAAAAACATAATTTGTTAAATGTTAACATTAAAAAACGTAAAGCTACGTGCCTTAGTGATTACAAATGAATAGATTGAATTTATGTAAATTGTTGATAAATCATCAGCTCGCTGATATAATTAAATCAGACAGATGTAAATGATATCTGATCCTCTCAGATAGCCCACCTGATCTTATGCTGATCTTTTAGGGCTTTTATAGATTTGCTCTTTGCGTCTCAGTCTATATAAATTGCACAGTTGGGCTGCTATGGATGCGCTGATCTCTATAAGTCCCATCAGATACCATTACTATGGCAACATCGAAACACACATACCGACTTATATAAACTGGACTATATTTAGATCATTACTGAATCAAACTCTAAGACATGAAGATCGCATGATGTTTCTGCAGGAAAAAAATTATTATATATAAACTGGTATTTGTAAAAAAATTTTTTAAATGTATTAGTTAATTAGAGTTATTACTAAACTATGAGAGACTATGAATAATAGTTAAAAATTCTTATTATTATTATTTAAGAGTTGGTAAAAATTTTATAAATTGACAATAGCTGCGTCTCATTTCAGAGGCTGCGTCCTCCGGAGGTCGCATTTGAAGTCTGCATACGTCACCAAGGATGTCTTATTTAAGAAAAGTAACAGTAATAAAATGGACTGTTATTCCTTGTTTATTGAAGATTCAGGACAATCACCTAGCAGTGCATTACAATAGTCCAGTCTAGAGGTCATGAATGCATGAACTAGCTTTTCTGCATCAGAAACAGGTAACATGTTTCGTAGCTTGGCAGTGTTTCTAAGATGGAAGAATGCTGTTTTTGTAACATGGGAAATATGATTTTCAAAAGACAAGTTGCTGTCTAATATAACACCCAGATTTTTGACTGTAGAGGAAGTAACAGTACATCCGTCTAGTTGCAAATTGTAATCCAAGAGATTCTGTGTACAGTTTTTTGTTGATATTTTTGTTGACAGTTTGTTGAGATATATAGTTCAGTATCATCAGCATAACAGTGGAAACTAATCCTGTATTTTCTAATAATATTACCAAGGGGCAACATGTATATCGAAAATAGCAGAGGGCCTAGGACAGATCCTTGTGGCACTCCATATTTTACTGGAATAAATATTTTACATATTTATTCCTTGTGAGATGTAAAATACTGTAATTTCTTTTTTACTTTGCAATTTTACGGTTACTTTTCTTAAATGAGTCTGCCCCAATGACGTATGCAGCCTTCAAATGCGACCTCTGGAGGACGTAGCCTCCGAAAAGGAGAAGCAGCAAATTATTTTATCCAAATGTTAATCATAGAGGTTCACAATTGACAAAATTAACACAAATTTTTTAAAAAATAAATAAAAATTAAAATCTTTGTTTAACTGGTTTCATGTTATGTGATAATCTGCATAATAAATTATAATTAAATTAATATAACAACAAATTGTAAATTAAATGTTATATCAGTAATATTTTGTTTTATTTAAAAATAATAAATACATAATAAATTATAATGTGTGAACAACTCACTCTGTCAAAGGGGATGCTGTATTTCTTCAGGATGGATGGAGAAAGGAGGGTCATCTTGTGACGGAGAAACGCGTCGCAGCCCTGAGAACTTCCTGGGAAAAAACCTGCAGAAAGCCACAAACAGCAAAAAGAGCGAGAGTAAGATGATGCCAACGGATGAAGCCCTGAAATAAACAGACTGAAGATCTTTAGAGGATATTATAGATATATAGATATAGATAGATATACATTATTAGAGTATATTATGTAATTATGTAATATATCATCAGTCTGCCTTTGTTTCTTCTTTTAACGCAGATTTAACAGATGAAAAGGACGTGGCGATGGTTAAAACCAGGCGACTGACGCGATGGAGTGTGAATTCATATTTTTATGCACGGATATACAGGAGTTTTGCATAAACCATTAATGGCATCAGGCCTCTCATAACAGAAAGCTTTAGCGCAGTTCGCCACGATTCACGTCTCGGCCGCTTCTCTGACTCTCTTCAGGACTGTTTGAGTTCAATGCAGAGGTTCTCCTTCGGTAACAGCGTGTGCTTGTGTTTCACCCAGAAATCAGGATTCATCAATTGTTCACAACTCACTTCAAGTGTTCAAACATAAAAGAATAAAATTAAGGATATTTATAAAATGTTAAAATATTTTATATACATAGTTAAAATACATGTATAAAAAGTATAAATTTGTATGAAATAGTGTTAACATTTTAAATTAAACAATATTGTTAAAAATATTTATAAAATATGTTAAAATATTTTATATAAATAAAATGCATATTTACAAATATAAATCTGAATATTTAAAAATCATATTGAATGTATATCTATGAAGAATGAAACAATATATTCAAAATAGATAAAATATGTACTTTTTATACAAATATACATTATGCAAGCACTCTTAATTTTTTTCAAAAAATATTTATAAAATCATTTACTATAAATAATAATGCAATAAAAAATAAATAAGAACAAAGTTAAGAATAATTATAAAATATAATGTTAAAATATTAAAATACATATTAAAAATAAACATGAATATGAATATTTAAAAAATGAATTTATAATTATAAAGAACAGAATAAACAATATTGTTCAATACTAACACATTTTGAATTTTTATAAACAAATATAATACAATCGTGATTCATCCATAACTTTAATTTAAATGTAGCGTTCCAAAAAATAATTATATATATTTAAGTATTTAAATCAAAAATCAATACTTAATTCAATAAAAAATATTTTATTTATTTTATTTTTTTATTTAATAAAAAATACTTTAAAATATGAATCTCGCAGACTCCTAAAGAGATGACCCGAAAATTTTCATATATAAAATATCTATATATAGCCCTATATATATATCAATAAAAGTCTTATTTCAGAATTACAAAAATGAAGTGCATTAAAGCTTGATGACAGTAAAATACAACATTAATCATCAATCAAAGGATAAAAAAACAAACAACAACAACAAAAAACGTCCAAACGAGGGCGCAAAAAGACGAGTTGTGGCGTTAAACCGCTGTTGGTGTTTGTATATACGTCTGTGACGTCTCAGCGCTGATCACTGAAAGCCCGGCGTCGTGTCGAGTGCTCGTTTAAAGCGGGGTGTTTGTTTAAGTGGGACAGGAGTTTGTGTATGTGGGTTATGGTAGCGTTTTGAAGTATAGCAGCCTCAGATCTCAGAGACGCACAAACATCTTCACATCTCATAATCCACACAACCACCGGCAGACGCCTGGGCTTTCCTAGACAACTTTCGGGAGGTGCGGAGAGGATTTTCTGCCAGCACCGTCTCGCACCTCATTCAGGATTACGGCGATGTTTTGTCTGCGTAATTTGGGGCAGGAAAAGACCCGCGGTACAGGATTTTTCCTGTCTCAGCCCGGAATCGTTCATCCGACAATGAACTTCTGCCATTATTTATTCTCGAACCTGTATGACCTTCTTCCTCCAGTAAAACATAAACTGAGAAACTTCGCAGGATTTTCCTCACACAAATTTATCGTATGATTTCAAAAGACGTGAAATACAGCGTGCGGCTCATATGCACTACTGTTATGGTGCTTTTTAGTCATTTTTCACCAAAAGGGCTTATATCTATATAAAAAAAAAAAAAGTAAGACGCTACAACGTTCCAAAAATACATTAAAGTAATAAAATTTAATTTCTATAAATGCATAAATTATATACATATCAATAAAAATAATACACATCAAAATATATCAAACTAATATAAACATATATAGACAATAAATAAACTATAAAATTAGTATAGTAAACTATAAAAACTAAAATATGTGTGTGTGTATGCATTATATATATATATATATATACACAGAAAGAGATTTATAAAGATATCTACATATTTTTATTTTATATAAATAAATACATAGGAAATTATTATATAACAGACAAACAGACAGACAGACAGACAGACAGACAGACAGACAGATAGACAGATAGACAGAGAGATAGATAGATAGATAGATAGATAGATAGAGTTTTGTTTGTATATATTATGTACTGTTAATACACAATATCATAACAGTGCATAACACTATAATAATACATATATTTATTTATTTATATATTATAGGTATTTTTGTTTGTATATATTATGTACTGTTAATACACAATATCATAACAGTGCATAATACTATAATAATACATATATTTATTTATTTATATATTATAGGTATTGTTTTAGTTTTATTGTTTATATAAAATATTAAAACTATTATTTATAGAATTTATATATTTTTTACATTTTATCCGTTCATTTCTTTTTTAAATTCACGTGTGTGTGTGTGTTGCACCAAAGAAAAAGAAAAAAAACTTTGGAACAAAACGAGAACAGGTTTCCAACATTTCTGTTTTCACTCCTTTTACTTTAAGGCTTTTATATGTAAATGACCTCTGTTTTGATCGCCTAACCTACCACGCTCCATTTCTGCATGGAGACACGCTAACGAACGGATGTGAGGTCTTACCTTGTGCCAGCCGCTCCAACCTCTTGCCGTGCTCAGGAGGAATGGCATACCTGTGGTGAGGAGGAAAAAAACCGAGATCAATTAACAGGATCAACGGAAAAAGACGAGAGGGAAAAACACTGGAGGGACGCGCAGCGAGACGCCTCTGTGAGAATCGCTGTCTGATCATCACACAGCCCTCGAAATCATAAAACACACAGAACATTTCACCCCTATTTCACATTCACCAGTCACACGCTAGTTTAAAGACAAAGTACTCAAACGTCACCGAGACAAAGCCTGGAAAATTGCTGCGCGAGAGCCAATTTATTTCAGCTAATCGGCTCAAATGCACGCAACGCTAATACAGATTGTGCTGTGCTGCTTAATTTGAAATGATTTCGCTGGAGAAGGAAACAGCACAATATCTTCTAAAGGTTCAATTCGCTTGACGTTGTTATTGACATTGTCTGTATTAGCCTAATTATTTCCTCAAGTTTCCAGAGAGCCGAAACCCTCCCGAGGCCTCGAACGTAAATGTAAATCCGGTGCATCACCCTCCCTTGGGCTCCAGCTCCAAATCACACATTCACAATGGGGGGAACGTGGCTTCAGGAGGGTTTTGAGCGGCGTCGCACTGCCCTCTACTGGCAGCAGGACGCAAAAGGGGATTTTATGGGCGAGTGGCACTTTCTAGTTAAACACAGGCCAATTTTACAGCAGTGGTTTTCTCTACACAAGCGCAGGATCGTCTGAAAGTCAACTGAATACCAAGTGGACAGATTAAAGGGTTGTGTTTGTATGCAGCTGATGGGATGTACAAGAAGAATTTGTTTTATTTTACAATGTGTTGTGGCTTTTACTGAAAAGTTATAGGAGAAAAAGTACAAGAATTATGGGGGGGGCAAAGAGGGATGGGAACTGCCTATGCACTAACCAAACGGAAACCAGTACAGGATGGAAATAAGATCTATGGAGATGGAAACTTGGATGCTATGAAAGCTGCTAGTTAGCAGCCTGTGCTTCCCATATTCATATAATTATGGAATTAGCAGTAGCACAATCTCATAATTAACTGAACTGTCTGAAATAAAATGTTCCTCCTGAATTCAATGACCCTGGACTCAAAAGTTTTGGCACATATTTTTGAAACAGTGCCATTGTGTTGGCACCTACATCTACTAGCGGCCAATCACAAAGTACTCATTCTTGCATTCAAAAACATTTAAGACCAAATTGGAGCACAATTTAAGCGCATGCAGGGATCTTGAGACTACTTAAAACTTTCATACACTGTCTTAAAACGGCACAGGACACTACAAAACAGAAGGATGCCACTAATTGGCCTCCACCTGCAACAAACATGAATGCTAATTAATTCCCACGATGACATGCATTTGTTGCATGTATTGGGAACTGCTCTGAAACACCAAAGACGGAGCCAGTGGGAAATGAAACTCTAAGGACACTGGCGGTAGTAGATTCAATTTGGCGTTTGAGGTGCCACCACAAATCAATAATAATTAGATGGCTCTTTTTCTCCTTTTCTTGCAGATAAAAGCTGGATCTGATGGGCGGCTGTAATTAGGGTATGATTGCTTCCTGCTAGCAGGAGTATCCTTACACCCCACTAACCCCACCAGATCAAGCTGACAGTAACTCTATCTGGCAACCAAAAGTTGCTTTATTCGATCTGGAACTGTCTGGGGAGGAAGGCAAATATTGATGAAAATCACACTTGGGGCACCAGAAATCAAGGTAAATCCGAGGCGCTTGACTTGGAATGACTGTAAACGCCCACTTGGAGTAAAGCCTCCAGTTTCTTTAGGTTCCTCTAGTACCACCGGAATGACGAAATGAACACAAAGCGCCTACTAAACACCATTTGAGATTTTGATACAAGGGTACTTAGGTGCCTGGGCGTATGTAAGGGACGCATCCCATTTACCTCGTTTACTGCCCATGAAACAATTCCGTACTTCACTTCCCAGATGCAATATCTCTCCAATTCCACGGCGGCAACACAAAACCCCTACCTGCCAAACGGCGTCGACGCCACCGGCAGCGTTAAGGTTTTATTTGTCATCATCTTGAAGAGGACAAGAACAAGAAAACAAGCAATAAGAATCAAGCTATCCTCTCAGCTGCAGCACTCCCTCTCTCAGCGATTATTTCCGGCAGCGTGCGCACCACTTTGGGCCACTCCGCAATCTTTAAGAATCTGACACTAGATCTCAGGAGGCGGCGAGAATTATGACTTTGATGTGAGGAGAGTTGGAGGCGAATGAAGTTAATTTCACAGTGGCTGAACAGAGGGTTAGGCAAACAGCTACCACACACACAGCATTTACCTATTTTATCTCACAATTCTGCAAGTTTATATCTCCTAATTCGGACATTATAACTTTATTCAAGTCAACAATTGTGAGTTTGTCAATTCTGAGGAAAAAAAGACCTTTATAAGTGTGGGATTATAAACTAAAAAGAAAGAATGACGAGTTGATTTTTCTTGCCAGAATTGTGAGATATAATCTCGGAATTGCAAGAAAAAAAGTCCAAATTTTGAAATAAACTCAAAAATAAATTTTTATTATTTTATTCCATGGCTTGAATAGACTGCTACATTAAAACTCTAATTTTCTGCCACCAGATAGGCTCCGTTTGCAAACTCTGAAATTGGTCTATTGGTTAACATTTTATGTGCACTTTGTATAGATTGCTCTCACAATAAATATAATATTTTAACACTCAGCATCATTAAAAATATGAATGAATAAAAAAATAATTCACTTAATAAACTTGGATTTTCAGTCCTGGAAAATACTCTACCATTTTGTGGGATCCCTGCTGTTTACTGCGAACACTTCCTACTTCAAATCACAAAACCTTTCTTCCATGAGGCAACCTATTATGCTTTTCATCTCACGCATGTTTTGAAGCCCCGATGTTGTTCATTTTACATTTTGACCAGTTTTTTAAAAAAAATTCCAAGGCACAAAACACCCTTGATTGACTACTGCTTTCCAGCTTGATTAAAAGACACACAGATGGATGAAATATCCCTCT